GATTCCAGGTGCCTGGTAAGTGTTTATTTAAAATAATCATGTCTCTCCAGGCACCAATGGCTCACATCTATAATCCTAACTGCCCAAGAGGCTGAGATATGAGGGTTACAGTTCAAAGCCAGATCAGGCAGGAAAGTCTATGAGACTTCTATCTCCAATTAACCAGGAAAAAGCCAGAAGTGGAGCTGTAGCTAAGGTGGCAAAGTACCAGCCTTGACCACAAAAGCTCAGGGACAGCGTCCAGGCCCTGAGTTAAGCTCCCATTTGTATTCAAGCACGGCTTCCTCTTTTGCACAGCCCAGTGTTTGCAATTATGTTCTGGGTTGAACATTATACTGAAAGCAAAAAAAGAAAAAAAATAGAAAGAAAATTCCAGTAAGTTATTTTGCAAACATCAACAAACCCATTCTAAAATTTTTATTTAGAGGCAAAAAGATACAAAATAACATTCCCAACTTAAAGACTTGAAATAAAGCTAATCAATACAGTGTGGCATTGGCAAAAGAATGGACAAATAAATCAATAAAACAAAACACAAAGAGCCTAAAAATAAAACATTTTTGACTTAGGAACAACAGAGCTTAAGAGTCTTTTCAAAATCAATCTTGGAATATCCATATCCCCCCACCAAAAAAAAAGTTAAGAGAAAGACTGTATACCTTCACAAAAAATAACTTAAAATAGATTACAACAAACTTAAATGTCAAAATGCAGAACTACAAAACTTCTAGACTGTAACCTAAGTCAAAATCTAGAACACCATGGGTATGGTGATAACATAAAAAATGGGATCCAGTGGTAGAGACTCTTACAGAAGGAGGGAGAGAAAAAAGGAAAGAAAATTGAAAAGGAAGCAAGAGATATGGCTCAGTAGTAAAGCATTTGCTTAGTAACCATCAATCCCCAAGTTCAATCTCCAGTACCATTTTCTAAAAGGAACCTAGCCATCCAAGGAAGTTTTTTTTGTGTGTACCAGGCCTGGACACTGTCCTTGAGCTTTTTTGTTCAAGGTGGGCTCTCTACCACTTGAGTCACAGCTTTGCTTCCGGCTTCTTGGTAGTTAATTGGAAATCAAAGTCTAACAGACTTTCCTGCCGAGCCTGGCTTCAAATTGTTATCCTCAGATCTCAGCTCCTGAATAGCTAGGATTATAGGCATGAACCACCAGTGACCAGACAAGGAAGCAAAATTTTTACAATAAACAGTAAAAGAATATAGCTTAAACTTCATCTTGAAAAATAAAATTAAAAATTATTCTTTATGCAAAAGAATTTGCATAACTGTATACTTAAAATGAAAAGCCCAGGCCTATAATCCATGAGACTCATCTCTAATTAACTACCAGAAAACTGGAAGTGGGGCTATGGCTCAAAGTGGAAGAGTACACACCTTGAGTAAAAAGAGCTCAGGGACAGCACCCCAGCCTGAGTTCAAGCCCCTCAGCCAACAAAAAAAAAGGAGGAGGAGGAGGAGAAAGAGGAGGAGAAAAAAAAAAAATCAAGGAGGTAATTTTGGTGTAATTTTCCCAAAAGTTTTATGTGTCTGTCTTAACAAGGCACTCCCTACACCTAATATTTATGGCTTAATTTTAGAAAAATATCTGAGTTCTTGACCAAGATCCCATCTTTTGATATGTAAATTATCCTATGGGAAGGCAGATCCCAGGGTATCATTTTGCAGGAGGATTTTCTTTTGTCTGTCTGGGGGTGAAGGGGAGGGTCTGTCCTTGGGGTGTTATGAAACAGATGTTTGTAAAACTTTTTAACTGTTCTCAAACATCCTTTCATTCATTTCACAACTGATTGTGATTTTTATCAATAACCACTAAGGAAGATCACAAACCCTGGATGTGACAGATGGGGAGGAGGCTGTAGTGTAATACAGTGGTAGGGCACTTGCCGAGCACATGTGAGATCTTGGGTTCAATTCCCAGCCCTGAAGAAAAAGTAAAAACCAAAAACAATCAGGAGAGAAATTAGGGCTAAGTTGTAAAGTGTGGGCACAGACAAATTTTCTAACTGTTCACGAATAACATTTTTCATGTTCAGACAATTTTTATTTTTCCCCTGTATCTTCATAGCAACAAACAGTGAGTCTGATAGCAAGCCCTCCTTGTTTATTACAATGCTAGGAGGCCAAAATGACTACTTCTACAGTAGACAAGCCTACAGCTAGGCGGAACTGTAGGACTGAAGACAGGAAAAAAATTCATTCTCACTTTTTCAGAGTAGGCCCTGAAGGAGGAATTCTGAAAGGTGACAGAGGACTGGCTGCCAAGCAGAGGAGCGTAGAAAGGCTGGTAACTGAAAACACAAAGCAAATTCAGAAAACACAGCTCCAGTCACTTGGTCTTGGGGGAAGGGATTTTAAAACAATAACAACAAAAGGAACCCTTCTAAAAAGGTAGGCTGGAGCCCAAGTTTAGACCTTACAAACAAGTCTGGATTTTACTCACTAGCTACAGGAGTAACTTGATATTTGGGTATTACCTGATAACAGGATACATACAGACTAAAGGGGATCACTGAAAGCACCAAGGTCACCTTCCCCTCCCCACCTTCCCCCGGCCCCTAGTTACAGTGTCCAAGCAAGAAGAGCAGACCAGGACTCTACCTTACAGGGAAAAGCAGGATTTCTGGGGGAAAGCACAATCAGAAATGATACAGGAGTTTAGGCCAGGCTGTTAATCACTCAGAGAAAGCAGAAGCACCTTCTAGGGCAAAGAAGAGCCAAAGGGTCAAGTTCGGGACTGACTGAACTAAAAGCACCTGGGCTGAGGTGGTGTGGTTGGTTGGATAAAGCACTTCAGAGAGACTGACACTTAGGGTTATAAAAGCCTCAACCTCCTTGCTAGGCATCCCTGACTTCCCATGTCCAGACTCACATTTTTCTCCATACACCAGCCATTCTGTGACCACAGTCTATTCATCCAGAACACAGGACTGAGAAACAGTGTCACCATGCTACATTATTCTAAGAGATACTCCAATCCAAAATGAGTGCTGATGGCTACAGCTTGTAATCCTAACTACTCAGCAGGCTGAGATCTAAAGATCTTGGTTCAAAGCAAGACCAGGCAAGAAAGTCCATGAGACTCAAAAAGCTGGAAGTGGGCTGTGGCTCAAGTGGTAGAGTGGAAGCCTTGAGCAAAGAAAGGTCAGGGACAGCAAGCAAACTGGGAGTTCAAGGCCCAGAGCAAGGATTAAAGAAAAAAAAAAAGCTAGTCTTTTAAGTACTAAGTCCTGGAGAAAAGAAACAAGATGTTCCCAATGTTTTTGCAGTGACTCCTTTGAAGGAACAAAGCAGAAAGTCTTAACCCATAAGTGACCCCCCCCTCCCCCCTAAGCATGTAACCAAGAAAGGTCTTCAGGCTAGATCTAGGGTATCCAAACAGAGGCGAGGCAAGGCAATGGGGGGGGGGGGGGGGGGAGAAGTCACCACCAGAGCTGGCAGAGAGCTGGCAGTTTGGCAGTTCAGGCCCTGCCTGTCCACAGTAAGTAAACAGCCACTGGCCAAGTCACCTCTGGAGGGATTTTTTTTGGCACAGTTACATAGAATGGTGTCCATCACTTTTCTAGCTAAGAAACTATCAGGCCTAACTAAGGGAATTCAAGTTTTGGAGTTTGTTTTTTTTAACATGCTACTAGGAAATTGAAAAGTGATCTAATCATCTGAGTCTTTTCTCCGCTTCCTACCAACTGCCTTTTAACTCTGCTCGTAAACAAACGCTGAAGAGCACCTCAAGCACACAGAACAAGAGAAGTCCCCAACAGTTCCATGTGCTGCATTAGTGGCAGACTAGTGACAGACTAGGCACAGAAAAAGAATCAAATGAGTAAAATGGGACTGGGGGATTATTGATGGAAGACACAGGCACTTTCCAGATATTTTGCACTCACCTTGGTCAACCAATTAAACAAAAACCAACCAGGTTTTTAAAGGTCTAAACAAAGACTCACACGCAGTGTTAAATGCTCACCCCTAAGGAGAAGAGTTATCCTAAAGTCGAGAGGGACATGCTTCCGGTCAATATGAAAATGTACAACACATACTTCTCTATTTGTGTGTGCATGTGTGTCTGTGTGCAAGCTCGTGTGTGCCAGTCCTGGGGCTTGAACTCAGGGCCTGGACCCTGTCCCTTAGCTTTTTTTTTTTTTTTTGCTCAAAGCTGGTGGTTCCACCACTTCAGCTACACTTCTAGCTTTTTGAGGGTTAATTCCAAGTTAAGAAAAGTCTCAGGGACTTTCCTGCCTAGGCTTGTTTTGAACCAAGAGTCTCAGATCTCTGCCTGCTGAGCAGGATTACAACTGTGAGTCATGGGACCCCATCTCCTACGTTAAATTTCAGATTAAGTACCTTTAAACTTAAAACCAGAAAGGGGTTTAAAACAAAAGCCAAACACTCCACTTTACTCTTTGGAGCCACGCCTCCCAGCTGTACCCAGTAAAGCGGCTACACGCCCGCTCAAGTCTCAGAGGGGTTCAGCCAAAGTTACCCTCCTTCTCCCCAAAACCACTCTTTCAGAGGAGAAAAATCAAATTCCAGACAGGAAGAAACCATAAGGGAAAAGTCACTGATTCTCTCCTCCCCCCCAAAAAAAAAAATCTTGTGGACTAAACCACAAGGGAAAAGTTACTAAGTGATTTCCCTCCCTCCCCCCAAATCTAGTCACAAGGTCCTTCATTCAAGGTCTTAATCCTCAAAGGGACTTCCTAGCCTCACTGAGCTCGGGGACAAAATGTACTTTGTGACTGCTCGGTTATTGTTCTCCCAGAAAGGGGGGGGGGGGACCCGCTTTATCCCGAAAGCGACATTTTTTCCAAACGCCTGCCGCTGGGTGGCCACTCCAGGCGGGGGGTGAGGGGTCCGGATGCGCGGGGTCGGGCTCGGGTTTCGCCGGGGTTGGGGCGCCCGGGTGTCCCCCCCCCCCCCGGCCGCCCGCGTCACCTGACCCGCCGCCCGCCCCCGCCCCTGCGCCGCCCGGCCCGGCCCGGCCCGGCCACCGACCTGATGACACTGATGTGGAACTGGTCCTCGCGAAGGCCTCGCCAGGCGCCGGGCAGGAACTCCTTGCACCACAGGTAGGCCTTGCGGCGCGTGCGGGGCTCGGGCTGCTCCTCGGCCGGCGGCGGCGGCGCGGGCAGCGCGGCCGGGGGCTGCCGGCCGCCCAGCGGCTTGGGCTCCAGCTCGCCCGGGGCGTCGCGCTGCTGCCCCACTCCCGGCGCCGAGGCCGGGCCGCCGCCGCCGCCGCAGCTCAGCAGCAGCCCGAGCGGCGAGGGCTCTGCCTCACCCCCGGTGCAGAACTTGGTCTTCATGCCGGACAGGCGGCCGACGAGGCACGGGCGGCCGCAGCGCGAGAGGGCGAGGCTCAGGGTCCGGCCGGGCGCCGGCCTTCGAGAGGCCGGGCGGGGGGGGGGGTCGTTGACCGGCTCGCTGAGGGCCGGGCGGGCGGCGGGCGGCGGGCGGCGGGGGGCTGCGCGCGGCGGGCGGCGGTTGAGGACGCGCGGGGCGGGCGACGACGACGAGCGGCTGGGGCGGGCGGCGGCGGGCGGCTGAGGCTGCGTTCCGCGGCGCCCGCCTCTATACAGCGCCGCACGAGGAGGGCCTGGCGTCACGGCCCGCCCCCGCGCTCGCCGCTCATTGGCTGCTCTGGCGCATCACAACCGCCGCCGCCCTCACCAGGTCGCCTTCCCATTGGCTGCCGTGCCGCCTCCCCGCCCAGGGCGCTGAGCCCCCCCCCCACGCCCCGAGGCGGGGGCGGAGCCCTGCGGAGGGGGCGTGGCTCCGAGTCGCTCCCCCGGTCGCGGGGATCCCGGAAAGGGGCGCTTGGCTGGGGGGGGGGGGGGGGGGGGAGTGGGCGTTGAGAGGGCGCCGCCTCGCCGGGCTCCGACCTGCCGAGCGGAGCCGGGTCGTGAGCAGCTGGGTGACCGCGTGTGAGGGGTGTCTTGAGCTTTGTGATCGAAACTCTCCGGGGCTGGGCTTTGTGATCGAAACTCCGTGGACCCCTTGAAAGCGCGTGACTTCAGAGGCCGCCGGGGCCTCACCCGGGCGGGCAGGAAATTGGCTTCTGGAGGCCGGCCGCTCTTCCCGCGTGACCTCGGGGCCCCGAGAAATGCCGCGTGTCGTCATACCATTCCCCAGCGCGGTCCGCGCGCTGCCGGGCGCATCCGTGCCGGGTCCAGCCCACCACCCGAGGCTCGCAGGCCGAGGTTCGGAATCCGAGGCCCGGAAGAGGAGAAGGTAACGGACCCGAGGCCGCGGCGCCGGCTAACCGGGCCCGGCCTCTGCTAGCCCGCCGCCTCAGTTTCCCTGTCCGTGGTGCTGAGAACTCTGGGCGAGCGGCCCAGAGCAGCGGGAAGCCGGGGGTTTTGTGGACATTGTCACCTGCCCCCTTACAGGCCACAACCACACGACCGTGACTAAGACACCTTTGCCCTGGGCAGGGGGTGGGGCAGTGGCCCCTGCTACTGTGTGTCCTCACACCGCCGCGTTCCTCTCTTTGAATGTAATCCTAGAAGCAAGTGAGGTAGAGATAATATTAAAACTACAACCCAGCCGGGCACCCAAGGCTCTGGCTTGAGATCAGAGGATGACTGTTGGAAGAAGCCAGCCTGGGCATGAGAGTTGTGAAATTCTAATCTCCAGATAAACACCCAAAAGCAGGAAGTTGAGCTGTGACATTTGAGTGTGCTGGCCTTGAGCAAAAAAAAAAAATCTAATGGACAGTACCCAAACCTTGAGTTCAAGCCCCACTACAACACCAACTACTATGTTGTGAGCTGGGTGCTGGGGGCTCACGCCTGTCATCCTAGCCACTCAGGAGGCTGAGATCTGAGGATCGCGGTTCAAAGACAGCCCGGGCAGGAAAGTCCCTAAGACTCATCTCCAATGAACCACCAGAAATCCGGAAGTGGCACTGTGGCTCAAGTGGTAGAGCGCTGGTCTTGAGCTGAAGAGCTGAGGGACAGTCCCCAGGCCCAGAGTTCAAGCCACTGGCTCAACCAAAAAACAAAACAAAACTATACTGGGAACAAGAGAGTTCCCTGGCTGCCAGGAGTGTAGGAAGTCCAGTACAGGGTACACAGGAAATGGCTTCTTTGCAAGAGCAGAAATCTCTTCAAAAAGTGTTTGCACTTATCTGAACCTGCTCCAAGAAAAATGATCTTACTAGCAAAAGCACACAGAGGAAAGGGAACTCTTGACACTGCTGCTATGGAGACAGGCCCAGAAGTAGATGAGGGGAGAGGGAGGTAGGGGAGAGGCTGAGCCTCTGTAGAGGCCAGGCCATCTTTGAAAGAAAGATTCAGAAATCAAGGTCTCCTAGGGAGGCATTTAGATAAGGGAACCAAAGTCCTTGTCTAAAAATATCAGTTCACAAGAAAGTGAGGCCTTGTCACTGGCCTGGGCGGCGAAGGGGCCCCTTTGTCCTCCCACTAGTCTGCTAGTCTCAGACTAATGTTGGAATCTGGTCAAGGGGAGGGAGAATAGAAGCAAGCGGTGGCCTCCATAATTTGAACTCTCTTCTTTTTGGCATCTACTGGTTTGGACTATGAAAACTCTCAGAGCTTTCATGGCTTTGCAGCTCCCCACAGGAGTAAGAAGGTTCCTCAGTAAAGTTCCTGGAACCGGTGACTCACGCCTGTAAGCCCAGCTACTCAGGAGAGTAGCTAGGTTCAAAGCAAGCCCAGGAAGGAAAGTCCATGAGGCTCTTATCTCCAGTTAACACCCAAAAGCCAGAAGTGGAGCTAGCTGTGTCTCCAATGGTAGAGTGCCAGTCTTGAATGAAAAAGCTAAGGAACACAGCCCAGGACCCATACACAACTACAAAAAGCACCATGCATCAAAATTTTCCCACTAGTAATTTTATGTAAAGGAAATGCAAATAAAAACAACCCTGAGGTACTACCTTATCCCAATCAGAATGGCCCACATCCTAAATTCATCCAAGGGCAAATGCTGGCGGAGATGCTGAAAAAGAGGAACCCTATTGCATTGCTGGTGGGAATGCACACTAATAGGACCACTTTGGAAAGCAGTTGGAGGTACCTCAGAAAGCTACAGATCTCCCCTGTGACCCAGTCATACCACTCCATTGGTAATTATAATGAGAGAGAAAACTGGAAATAACCTAAATGTCCAGCACCTAGAAGGACTGGACCAGCAATGGACACTGGGCACAGTGTTGGAATGTCAGTGGATGTAATCTGACTGGGATGAAGCCAGTCTGGAGGAGGAGCAGGGTTCATCATCTACTCCATTTTTGGAGCATCTTCAATGTGTGTACCATGCAGCCAGATATAGCAGATGAGCTAGTCTAATCCAGACAGGCAAACTGACCACTGCCTATCCCCTGGTGGCTGTTTTATTACTTGTCTTGCTCTCTCTATAATGCACAAGCACAAGCCCAACACTTGTTGAATGAACAAATGAGTGAAGTCCCAGTTCAATGCTTATCAGCAAATGACTTGAGCTACGCCCTAGTTTCCTCTGCTGTGAAATGAACATGACAATACCTGGTGCACAAGGAGCTGTTATTGTTGATTGAAAGGCCTGAGCCTTTCACAAGAGACCCAAGCTCAAACTGTGGTACTGAAAATAAATAAAAAGGCCAAGCACTGGTAGCTTAAGCCTGTAATCCAAGCTACTCAGAAGGCTGAGATCTAAGGATCACAGTTTGAAGCCAGCCCAGGCAAAAAAAAAAGCCTGTGAAACTCTCATTATCTCCAGTTAACCACCAAAAAGTCAGAAGTATAGGTGTGGCTCAAGGGATAGAGCATCAGCCTTGAATGAAAAAAAGCCAAGCAAACGTATCAGGTCCTGAGTTCGAGCCCCAATACCAGCATATTAAAAAAAAAAAAAAAGGTTTGGGGGAGCCAATCAGTTGGTAGAGCACCAGCCCATGAGCCAAAGCATGGGGTAAAAAGGTCAAGCTGCAGTGTACGTCCTGATGACCAAAAATGTCAGCCTCTACGCATGCGTGGAAATTTGCTGTGGCAGACATTGGTCCAGGGGAGAGGTTGTTCCAATCAGAAGTTGTTGTTGTTGTTGTTGTTTTTCCCTGAGAGAAAGTTCTGAAAACTCTTGCTGCTGAAGTCTGTAGGCAGATGGGGTCAGTAGGTGCTGGGCCTCCTGAGGTGTGGAGGGGAAGGGAGAGGACCCCAAGTCTCTCATTCAGAACACTCTTTCCTGTGTCTGGTCAGGGGAGACCCAGAGGTCAGTGCCACAGCAAGGCCCTCCAGCACACAGAAGGCTCCAACCATGAGCCCTAGCCCTGCCACCTGCTCTTTGCAAGGCCTATTTGAGGAATGGCTTTGTGAGGGCTGGGGAGTAAAGCAGTTGCTCAGCATGTGCAAGGTCCTAGGTTCAATCCCCAGCACTAAGCACCTGGGAAGAGCAGACTTTGTACCTTTTACCTCGCTCTCTCACACCAGCCAGGACAGTGAGTCTGATCAGCACCTCATCTCGCAGGTCAGGAGGGAGCGTGACAAGTTGGGGAATGTGGGGTGACCCATGTGGTCAAAGCCAGCAGGTCCTGGGGACGCTGCCTGGATCCCACCCAGGGACTCTTGTCTTCCTATGTTGTACCCAGAAGACCGTTGGCTACCTAACTGCTTCCTTTGGCTAGGTTGTTGGTACTGTGCCAATTTCCTAGAGGGCTGGAGGATGAAAGTCCTGGCTCACCAAGCTCCTGCCCCTGCAGGCTCGCCAGGCCCAGGTCACACTCTAGATCTGCGTTTCACATACCAATGCCAGCTCAGGATTGGGTTGCACCTCCAGCTAGCAGAACGACAGGGAGCCGGAGCCTTTACTCAGTATCCAGGTTACTCTCCCATCTGGCAGTCTCTGAGCTGAAGTGTGATTTTTATTTTATTTTTTGTCAGTTGTGGGACTTGAACTCTGGGCCTGGACACTGTCCCTCAGCTCTTCAGATCAAGGCGAGTGCTCTATCACTTCAGCCACAGCACCACTTCCGGTTTTCTGGTGGTTCATGGCCTTTCCTGCCCGGGCTGGCTTTGAACCACAGTCTTCACATCTCAGCCTCCTGAGTAGTTAGGATTACAGGCGTGAGCCATGAGCACCTGGCTTGAAGTGTGATCGTATTTGGCACTTTTCTACCATCCATGCCAACTTCACTCCACAGATGGGACCCAGAAGCACAGGGGGCTCCGTGAACACAGGTGACGTGCCCATATGTCTGGTGAGAGGGGTGGCACTCCCTTTGGTACCCCTGCCTCTCCATCCCCAGGGATCCTGAGGACAGCATGACCGGTACAAGTCTGCCTTTGGGGCTCAGTTCTCATGAGCTGTGGGCCTTTGGACACAGATAACAGTCCAGTGGTCCTTATCATCAGATGCAGATACTGTAAATGTTCC